ACAACCAAAATGGCTACTAAGGGACTAACAGGCAAGTAGTATATATACAATGTGGATTCACTAGACTTAGGGATGATTCACATAACAGACAGGAACAAGTGGGACAGATTTGGGCTGCTCAAGATTTTGTCATGTTATTCAAAACAGGGCAACATCTAAAAACTGTAAACTGTTTATTTTTTGAAGTTTCCACTTAATAATGTTTTTTTAGACTGCAATTGGCCTAAGTCACTGAAACATGGAAGGTAAAACCACATGTAAGAGGCCTATTGTGTTTCACTATGGATTTATGTGTAAATGCCACTTTAAACATTTGGTTTTGCTACCTTACCAGAAAGGCTGTGGTACAGCTCCTGCTACATAGACCTGGATCTGATTTTTCTCCTCATTTTTGCTCAGCTGGACTTGAATCATATTTTTCTCTACACTTGCACAGTTTGCTAAGTGCAGATCACCTTCCTCCTTCTGAATGTGAGTCTTGTCTCTTTTCACTGGCCAGCTTAAGACCCACTTTATCAATGAAGCATTTGCCAACTACATGCCAGTCTCTCTCTCTGTCTCTCTTTCTCTGTCTCTCTCTCTCTCTCTCCCTCTCTCTAAAAATTTAACTTGGCACTTATATTGCTGTCAGATTTATTGTTTCATTTGGCACCTCTTATAGCCTTGTCAACTCTATGAGAAAAAGGAAAATAGTCTCTCTAATTTTCAATCTCCCCCCCCACCCCCGCCCAGGTAGTAGGTTTGCAATAATTCAGCTCATGGACTTGAACAGAGTTGGAGGATCAAATTCACATACAATAGAACAATCCATATGAGCTTGGATAAATTCCCTAAGCCATGATATTTTCCAGGGGGAAAAAGAATTTTATTTCATGGCCAATATATTTTTCCTGTTGTCAAGTGAACCACTACCAAAAGGTGAGTCTGTTTTTGTTTATGATCCATAAATATCTAACCTTTCTCTTCTTTTGTAGATTTCATTAGTCATTTTGTCTGATCAACATATTCTTAATCAAGGAATAGTTGACTAATTGCAATTTGTGCTACTATTGAGAAAACACATCTGGGATTTTTGCTTTATTAGGATGTATAGGACACAGAACAGTTTCCATGGTGCTCTCTATGCAAAACACTCTTCCGAGACCAATGATGCAGTATTGCAAATGCTGATCTAGAGAGGAAAGTAATGGGAAGTGAGTACAGGGGGTGCACAGCTGATTCACTCAGCAAACACCATTTCTATTTTCTGTGCTTGCAGGGAGGGGTTGGTGGGAAGGGGATGTTCCTCTCACTGCCTGCAAACTTCAGACTGAAGGACAGAGCTCAGAGCTGAGCCTCTGTGTTTGCCAAAAAACTGTTTGGTAAAAACATCAGCTTGAATTTGTTTCCCTAGCAGATTGGCCCTTGGCAGGATCAGATGCTCATTACTTAAGTGGCTCTCACATGCAGCTTTTACTCTTCTTGAAGAATGTTTTTATTAATGAGGAAATTGCCTTTCTCAGTTTCCAAGACTCACCAGTGTGAACTGGGGTCACCACAAGTCATTTTTAGGAGCTACAAGGTCATGAGAACCTTGTGAGGAGTCTGCATGGTGTCGCCATCTTCTAACCATGTTTCCATCCTCAGGCCTGTGAGCAGAATTGCTAAGAATGTCCCAGCAGAGGGCTCCTTTTCCCATGTTCAGGAGCTGGGCAATGGGCAATTATCATGCCAGGGCTATTCATGAACGCATAACACTGACTACATTGTTCATGGCTGGACTGAACAAAAACATAAAATTATAGTACGATGGCCAAGAGTTGCACTGTCAGGGAAAATCTGTTCCAGACAACTAGACATCAAGTAGCCAAGTTACTTCATCAGCACTACCTTTCATGCTCTAAAAAAGGACAAAAATGTTATAAACACTTGTTGAACAAACACAGGCTTCTTTTACCACCCTCAGTCAGGAGGAATGAACTCGGACTTGGAGATGCGAGAAACAAATGATTGAAGTCAAGCTCCAAGAAACAGACTCCCAGCTCTCTCCAATGAAAGATGCAGACCATGAGGTCATGAGGAAGTTCATGGGAGGGCACTGTCACAACTCCCAGCCATACGCAGTCTTAGCATTCTTCCATGACCCATGAGTCTCAGCCTTGTCTTTGTAACTGTGATGGTTAAATTTGTGTCAACTGGGCTAGACTGCAGATTGTTGGTTAATTATTCTAGATGTTTGTGGAGGGTGTTTTCAATGAGATTAACTTTCAAATTGGTGGACTCTGAGTAAAATAGAAGATCTTCCATAATGTAAGAAGCCCTTACCCAAGCAGTTGAAAGGCCTGGTAGAAAATGACTGACCTCCCCTGAGCAAGAAAGAATTCAGTTAACAGACGGCCTCTCGATTCCAGCTGCAACTTCTCTGAGTCTCCAGGCTGCCTGCCTGCCCTGGAGATTTTGGACTCAGCACCACATGACTCACCACCAGTTCCTTAAAATACATTTCAATCTCTCTTAAAACACAAACAGGCAGATAGGTACATAGATAGAACTGTACAGAGATAGAATCATACATACAGAGATAGAACCCCATCTAATAATACATAGTTAACTCCCATTTTCATAAAGGACTCTCTGAGGTTTTTTGTGGTTTTCCTGAAATATCAACTGAACTCATGACCCTTCAAAGACTTGTGTTTGCTAGAGACCTTGTTTAATCCAAAAGTACTTCTATTGCCCCATGCAAAGTCTCACCTGCCTCAAATCCTGTACTTTTCTTCGTAGTCTTCAGGGTTTCAGTGGTTATAAAAAGGTGAAATTTTTTTCAATCTTCAATCTCAAGTCCAGTGTAGCCTACTTGTGGGTGAAGCAAGGGGCACACATATTTTACAAATATTCCCTTGGCTCTTCAAGCCTTGAGCACCCAGCCTTCCATGCTCCTACCCTGCCCAAGGAAGTGGATGTTGTCATTCTGATTCTAGATTACGAGGACCCAGCTGGTTCATGTAAGCATATGTTCATGTAACCATTAATGAATCCTCACAGTAGTGCAGCATGAGACATGAGCTTTGTTTTCTGTTCATGGGCACCAAATAATGCCATCCCCTGGTTGTCTAAGTATGATCTTAGCATATATTTGTCTTATCTCCTACCGATCCAATTTATTTGCCAAAAGACATTCAATCCCATTTATAGAGATTCAGCCTCATCATGGCCTAGAGGAGTCCACATTTGTAATTCCAGGGAAAGCTTACTGGAATTTTAATAAGTAATTCCAATCTCCCACTTCCAGTGCAAGCCACAAGAATAAAGACACAAAAACATATCTACAATGGTGAGGTGCCAACAGGATCCTAAGTCCAGTCAGAAGAATGGCTCACTGGAACAAAGGCCTTCACCTGAGGTTGAACTTGGGTTTTATTAATTTATGAAGAGGGGAGTGTCATGCGGATAAGGGACAGTGAGAAGAGTGGGAACTACATGAATGCTATGAGCTGGGCTAGGTAGAAGGCATCATAGCACTTCTATAGTATATAGAGAGAGGTGCGCAGGAAGAGTTACCTGCATAACACAGTTTGAGGAAGTATCTCCTGTTTTGAGGTCCATGCTTCAGTTTTGATGTCTGGCCTTCATGCCTGAAATGTCACAGGTTCTTTCTCAAGCCTCAGTCTTAGTCAATAGTGCAAGGCCACTCTGCCACGCTCTACTTACTAGTTGAAAGCCATAGGTGGGGCATCACTGACCTGTTGCACATCAGCACCTTGGCTAGACCCATTTGCATTGCTTAAAGCCAATTGATGGGGTAAAGAAATAGCCTAGGCCACTGTGTACATATCAGTAAATGGAAACAGGGCCAGGTTTAGCCAAAATGGAAACAAAGACTCTTTTTTCAAAGAGAACCATCTCAGTGGTCTTCCATACCCATTAGCTAGGTCTACTCAGTGTAGTCTTGAACACCATCATCTTCAATTCCTAAAGAAATAATGTAATTCATTTTTATTGGAGTCTTATTTATAGGGTAGACTGTACTAAAACCTTTGCATTCCGTGCCTCATTTTTTTGTACCTCTTCACAAGGGTCATATAAAACGGACCCCATTTGGTCCCTGATGTCACCCCAATCATAAATAGTAAAGCTGATATGGTGCTGGGGATGTTGCTGGACACAGAACTCACTTGGGTTGTATTATACAAGAGTGAGTGCAATGTGTTAAATGCTTGACTCTCCTGCCTCCTAACAATTCACAGTGATAGCAGACTGGAATGTTAACCCCCAAAGAGATGGTATTAGTTGGGAGATTAGGTAATGAAGAGATTAGGTAATGAAATTGGACTCCTCATTAATGTGATTAGTGCCTTTATAAAAGAGACCCACAGAGACCTCTTAGCTCTTAGGTCATGAGAGTTTACTGTGAAAAATTAACTGTCTATAGGCCAGGAGTGCCCTAGGACTTCACCAGACACTGAATGTGCCAACCCCTTTAAACTTGAACTTGTAGCTCTAGAACTGTGATAAATAAATCTCTGCTGCTTTTTAAAAGATTAAAATCAATCCAAACAAAACAGAATAGAGTCAAACAAAACAATGAAAGGGATTCAGGACTTTGAAATAAGATAATAGGAAATTAACAATGGCTATCACAAAGCATCTTGTTATTTTAAAAAGAACTGCCCAGACCATCAGACATACGCATGTAAAATTAACCAAAAATATAAGAACTAAGTTGAAATTTCAAGTGTCTCCTGAACTTGTTCTGAGTGATCTGGAGGTCTGAGACTGTATTTTGCTCCTTTGTCTTGCATTTTCTTGTGCTTCTCCAAATCAGCCCATTTCTGCATCCTAGGCATTTCCTGCCTTGGCTGCCAGCCTCTTGGTGTAGGGAACTGGGCGAAGCATATGGGTTCCTTCAATCCAGGGTTCCTGGAGAAGTGGAGAGGCACAGGGCTGTGGTTCACTGATGCTCTCCCATGGCTACAGAGCCTCAGGATGTGACTTCTTCTCTGGGCTCATGCTGGGCCCTAAACTATTTCTTTGTAATGAATTGACCATTACGTTTCGAAAGTTCTGAAATAGCCGAGAGACCCTAGAAAGACTTCTCTTTAGACTGCTGTTTGAAACCAGCAGCTACAACAAATAGCTGGCATTGTTTCGGGACCATACTTCTGCTGTTTATAAAACACCTGTTTATGGTATTTTGCTGTAACAGCCTGAACAGGAAACAGCAAGGAAACACAATTTAGGATGCTACATCTGAACCAAAGAGACAACAAGTGTCAAATACAGACTACCCTTCCCTGATGGAACCGTGATCAGGGTCTCACAGCTCCCAGGGGGGCTTCTGCCGAGCTGCTGTTGGGAAGGAGACATTTGCATGATAGGAAAGCTAAGCTGGGAAATGAGAATCAAGGGAAGCAAAGGAGAAACAGCATCTCCGCATCATCAGTTCCACCTGTGGGTCTGCCTGTGCCTGAAATGTGACATAGCCCTCAGCTTCTCAGTCACATGAACCAATAAGTTCACTTTTCAACTTAAATTAGTTTTGTTTCAACTGGGGATTGAGAGCCCAGCACCTACATACTGACCCCAGCCCTCTTTATTTGAGACAGGGCTTCACTGAATTGTTATGCTGCACAGCCGAGCTCTAACTTGTTATTCTCCTGCCCTGGGCTCCTCTCAGAGAGCTGGGGTTCCAGGCATGTGCCACCATGACCAGCTAATTTAAATTAGTTCACTAGTCTTCTAACACTTGCAGCTGAAAGAGCCCTGACTGACTCAGCCATCTAGCATCAAGTGGGGGCTCCTCTTCCTCTTTCCATGCAGGTAGAATTCTCACAACAGTGTTTTAATGTAATGGGTACAACAAGGCCAAAACTTCACAGGATAATCATTCCTGAAAAGGTGGTTTATTATTCATAGATCCCAAGAGAAGGGAGCAACCCTAGCACACAGGACCATACAGGGAAAGGCTAAGGTTTATCATAAGTAAAAGTTCGGGGGATTGTGTAAAGAGTCTTTATTGTGCTTTACATTTGAAAGGACAGGTTGAGAGAGGGTATGCAGGCTTGGGATTGGCTGGTTTGAATAATTTTGGTAGGATCTGTGGCATAGGGTATGTTGAGTACTACCTGACCCTGGGACAATTAACATGTTTATAGTGGCCTGGAGTGAAGAAGGTGGTTGGAGGTGTGGATTCTGGATTCGTCAGTTTGTATCTGAAAACCATGCCTGTGAACAGGTTATGTAGTCTCTGTGGATAAAATAGTCTTTCCAGAGTCAGCAAGTAGTCACTTTCAAAGCATCAGAAATACAGAGGGGTTTGGAGGTGTGCACACCTGTAATGACAGCACTCTTAAAGAACCTCAAGTTCACAAATTCAAACCTAGTCTGGGATCCTTAGCAACTTAGCAAGACCCTGTCTCAAAATAAAAGATAAGCTAACAAACAAGCTTGAGGTTGTAGCTCTGTGTAAAGGCCTTGGACTCAATCCCTAGTACTTACAAAAGAAAAAACAAAATTTATGGTTAATATTGGAGGCCTCACAACAACTCAACAGAAACTCTTCCAGTGTTATACATAAAATGGAATATTCTAGAAATATCACTTCCCCTTTAAATACCACACACACACACACACACACACACACACACATACACACACACGCTTCCTCTGAAATGTGCACTATTTTAATCTTTCAATGGCTAGATATCAGTCAATTAAATTTATTTGGTTGATTCTATTTAAATCTAAGAAAAAAATGACTTTGCCTCAGAACTAATGTTTAGGAACATACTCACACAGAACACTGGACAGGAAGCCAGTGCTTCCCGGTCTATCACTCCCTGGGTGTGTGACATTGGGCAAGTCTCTGCACTTCCCTTGGACTCAAGGGAGAGCTTTGTTCTGGTTATATTGTTGTAGGGTTAACTAGATGATCTCCAAGCCTGTCTTGGTCTTCTTGAACTGTTGTAACAAAAATTCCATAGGTTGGGTGGCTATAAACACAGAGATTTATTTCTTGTAGTTCTCAAATGAGAAGATCAAGGTCTAGCAGGCTTAATGTCAGGTGACAGTCTCTTCATGGCTCATAGACAGCCATGTTTTTGCTGTGTCCTCACATGCTGGAAGGGATAAATGAATTCTCTGGGTTCTCTCTGACAAGGGCACTCTCTTAGTTACTTTTCTCATTGCTGAGGAAAAAATACCTGACACCAAATTAAGGGACAAAAAGTTTATTTAGTTCACAGTTGTAGAGGATTTAGTCCATAGTCTGTTGGCTGGAAGGCAGGGTGGCATGGCAGGGGTAACACAGAGGAGAAATAGTCCATGGTGTGGCAGGGCAGGCAAAAGGCAGTAAGCAGCAAGGAGCAGCAGCAGAGAAGAAGCAGCCACTTTTTCTCTCTGCTTCTATATTCCACCCAGGCTGTAACCCTATTGATTGTTGCCACTTATACCCAGGGTGGAGTTTCATTATCCACCCTCTTAATCCTAGTATCATGCCTTAGTCCACATCCACATACTCTAGTCCTCATTCACATACCCTAATCCAGCCACGTTGAAACTCCCCACCTATGACTGGATGCAGCTTTAGGGGGACATCTAGATACAAGCAATAACATACACTAATTTCATGCATTAAGGCTCTACCATTCTTGAACTAATCACCTCCCAAAGACTTCATTTTTAAATGCAGTCACATCAGAGATTAGGGTTCAACCCAAGCACTTGGGGAACACAAATATTCAGTCAATAGCAAGGCTCTCTCCAGTTGTTTTCCTGTGACAGCTACTTCTGTGAAACTACAAGCTGGCACACATTTCTGCTGACCTTACCACTTGGTAACTATTACATCTTCATAAAGCTGCTTAGTAAGCCAAATTTTTCTAATTTTACCAAAATAGGTCTAGTTTAACAAAACCAGAAGTGTGAACATATTTCAGAGCACTTCACTTTATTTTCCTGCAGTATTCTCTTGAATGCTGGGTAATCTGCCTCTAAAGTGCTGCTCATTGACGTTCCCAGGTTCTGGGGTTTTCATCTCTCCCTCTGGAGCTGCATTCCAGGTTCTTCTCATGTTGAACAAAATAAACAAACAGCAGTGGCCAAATTTATTTGAGAAAGTACAAGTAAAGACTGAAGGAGGAATGGCTCTTCAAAGTGAGCCTGAGCTGAGTAAAAAGAGAAAAGCAATAAGAGGACACACTAGAAATAGTAGGGTGGGCTACCATAAAGAAGGCCACAGTAGCACGTTCTTCTTGGTGTCTGTGTCTTTTATTCTGTCCAAATCTCAAGGACACCCTCAAGAACTTCTACAGACAGACCCTGAAGGGTGCTACTAGGATTCCACACCTCAGCCTGACAGGAGGTCATGGCCCACCTATTAAAAACCTGCTCACACTCTTGAGAAGTCCACAAGCAGGGCTTGGGGAACTGTTCTGGGCATGTGTTCCACGATCTCTGTAACTAAGTGGTCATGCCTACTTCCCTGGTAGTTTTTCCACACTCTAACCTCCTATCTCACTATATCTTAAAATTATATTTGGATTTAGAATTCCCTATTTTAGGGAGACAATTGTTAATTCAATATTATTTCCATCTAGCCTAGAAGTACATGAATTTTTGAAGGTACAGAATCTAGATAATGCTCAAGTCACTCTTAAGTAATAAGTAGTCTCTCACTGGAAATGATGTCTTTTTATAGGACTAAGGGCACAAGATTTTAACATGTAATAACATTTCATAACAGAAGACACTTATCATATACAAAATATTATCCCTTACATAAGTCATTTAATAGCCAAAACAACTCATTGAAGGAGGCATTACTTTCAATTTACAAACGAGGAGACTGAGGCTCATGAAATATAAGTGTCTTCCTGTTATGGTTTATAACTAGATGTCCCCTTAAAGCCTTATGTAATCATAGGTGGGCTTTTGGAAGGTGAGTGAATCATGGAGGCATGGTACTAATCAGTGGATTAGTCCAGTGATAAGTTGATATCTAAATGTGATGTTTGGAGGTGAAGTGTGGGGAAAGAGATAGGCTGTGACCTGAAGGGTATATCTCTCTCCTTTTTCCTTTGATCTACTGCTTCCTACTATCACACCATGAGCTCTTTCACCTCTGGACTGCCCCTCTGACCTGGAGCCAGATGACTATGGACCAAAACCTCTGCATACTGTGAACTAAAATAATAAATAGTTCTTCCTTAAAACTGTGGATATCACATATTGTGTCTCAGCAACAGGAGAAGTTATTAAGGTACTTCCCACAACTGCTTAAGAAGAGATCTGTGTTTTCCAGAATGCTGGAAGAAAAACCAAGCTTCCAAGTTGTAGAAGGCCACCTGGACAGCTCTCCTTGAATGCAAAACAATTACCTCCTGGCCCTATCTCCATGTACCTATATGAACAGAGCTGACTTAGCTATTTCCTATTCCCTTCAATTGGCTCTAAGCAATGTAAATAGGGCCAGCTGAAGTACTGGTGCATAATCTTTGAAGCCAGACGACAGTCACTGTTTCCCTGACTCAGTATCTCCTTAAAGGTTGAGCCCAGCGGGATGCAGAGCCAATACTCCAGGGCTGTCAACTGGGTTTAATCCTTGAGATAAAGAGGCCAGGGAAGAAAGGTTTGTACTTTAGAACTGAAGCACCAGCCTTCTAAACATTAAATGTTCCTCAATTGTGTTATGCAAATTGGTCTTGCTGTATATCCTCTTTACATATGGCAAAGATGCTTTCCAGCCTCCCAGCCAGCCCAGCTCACAGTACTCACATGATTCCTGCCATTCTCCCAGTCACTCATCCTCTAGTCACACACTTCTTCCCAAAGCTTGGCTCCAGGCCTTTGTTCTATGAACCTTCATCTGGGCCAGACTCAGGACCCCCTGGCTGCCCATAACTATAAATATGTCTTAGTGTCTTCATCTTTGCCATGGGTTGCACTGGAGGTGGTAGGTTAAAATTAAATCACTAGAATTCCAATAATTTTTCCATCTGATTATAAATGTAAACTCCCCAGACTGCAACAAGGACCAAAAAAGGGTACCTTGGGAATTTGATAAATGCTACTGCTGAGGGTGACACTTTGGAACTACAAATTTCCTGACTCTTCTAATGATGAAGAATGGATAAAGTAGATGAAAGCCAAATCATTTGA